GAGAATTGAAGAGAGGCGGTGAGGGAAAGAATAACCATGAGAGATATCTTTCTTTTTATGCCATTCTGTTGTGGAGAGTGGGGAAAAGTCCCTAGGATGAGTCTATTCCAGGGGTATGTGCCAATTTACAGAAACAAACAAGTAAAACAAACAACAAACAAACAAAAACAGGACAACTAGCATTTCATGGTTAAAAACTAGGTCTATGAAAGAAGTAAGAAAGGCCAGTTGGGCTGATAACATTGCTAGACAGTGCAGTGACTGCCTAGATGAGACCAAGTGACTTTTTGGATCGGATGGGTCCGAGAACAGAAGAACATCTACCAGTGCAGATGGACATTCATGTAGCATGTCTTAGAGATGCTCGAGTTGTTGGGTTTTTGTGACACAATGTGATTCCCTAAACCTGTTATCCTCAGCACTGGTTGGCAGCTTCCAACTAGCTGCTGTGTGACCTGCAGGTCTCAGCTCTGAGGCAGGAAGAGGCCAATGGCCACTTGCTAGGAGGTGGGATAAGTAGGTGTCTTTCTTTAAAAATTAAGCAGGTTCCTTGGGGACCTCCTGGACTTTTCTGATATTTATACAGAATTCTGAAACATTGTGCTCTGCAGTCCTGTAAAGAAAGATTCAATTGTAATTGGAAAATGCAAAGGGGCAGAATTAGGATTAGCTCTGCCCTTCCTGCTTCTTATGCAATTAAATTCTCTTCTTTGCCACTGAGTTAATATAATCTCCCTTCACATAACTAAGCATAAATTATGGATAAATATGAGATGAGTTGATACGGTCTCAAAAGAGATAATGAAGTGAAATTAGTAAGAAATTATATTTACAGTATTTGGATTTTTAAGAACCAAGAATACTGCCATTTAGCCAATGAAAAATCTGCAAAGTAATCTATTAATAGATCAAATTGTGATAAATTAAGAACTAAAAAATAATAAAAATAATAACTTTAAGAATCTCAGGCAAAAATATTTCTTCACATTCTAAATATTGCTCTTATTTCCTTTGGTATTTTCCTCCATATACTATATCACTGCAGGTACAAGAAGGAACTTCAGATGTGAGGCATTATTCTGTCTGGGGTTGTCGCCTTCCATCTCGACTTCATGATCCATGCTTTACATATTAGTTTTGGTATTCTTTGTATCATTTATTTTGGGTGAAGCAGCAATAGACTCATAAAGCCTCAGAAGTAGAACTGAGGCTGCAAGAAATAAATTTTTCATTAGTACTCTTAATATGGAGACTTTGCCTCTGGAAGAAATGGACTTAACCACTCTTAAACTCATAGAAAAGGGACTGCTGGCTTTGCCAGTGTAGTAATGGCTATGCTTAGTGCGATGATAGAAAAAGAACACCTTGTCATACAAATTGTTTGCAGATTTCCATTCCTCTGTAATTCCATCTGTTTGTGATCTGAAGTTCTGCGCTGCTGCGTCCATCACACACTCTGAGTTAATGGATCTCACCAGAGCCCTGTGCTGACCTTGGATCTGCAGGCTTGGTTGGTCATCTGACCTTATACGCATG